ATAGCACAAGTGCAAGGTACAACTCGACGAAGCACGGGCAGATTCTTTAAACACGGATTTGGCTTATTTCTTTCGTTTCTTTCATTTGGCTTGGATGATTTTGGAGAGAATTTCAAGGGGGATTTCATCAAGCATCAAAGATTCGACGCGCGTGGAGGCCGGTTTGAGGGGCAAAGGCGTCGCGAGCTAGGGATTTCGCCGGTTCGAGGTGAGTAATACTTGTAAATGATATCCTGAGGGTTTGAAACCCCGAGTTTGCACATCATAGTATTGTATTGAGGTGACTTTCATGCCGGATAGTGAGCATGGGGTAGAGCACCGTTGGGGATTGTGACTTGGTCCGTCCCGATTGATGAAATTACTACGTATTTGACTGAAACTACTTGTTATCATCATGATTTGGGCTGATTGCCATGTTTTGGGCTTCGTGCCGATTATTTGAATCCTTCAGGGATTGATATCACTGATTTTGCATTACTTTGCATGTTATTTGACCTCGGTCCAGGGTTTTAATACTGTTTTGCAAATTCAGCCATTTTTCATGATTTGAAAACTTAAATGATATGTTACTGACGTTTTGAGCTGAGAACTGCTATTTTATTATTGCCCAAGGGGCTTATGTGCATTTCTGGACTGAGCATGGATCGGGCTGCGCGCCACAGCAGTGTTATAGTAATTTCTGGATATATGGATGGCTCGGGCTGCACGCCGCAGCGGTGTTATATTGATATTGCGCTTGGGCTGTAGGAGCCCCTCCGGAGTCTGAACCCCCACAGTGAGCGCGGGTACCCAAATGGATCGGGCTGCATGCCGCAGCGGTCATATGCATTGCATTGCATTCATGCATTGGTTCCTGTTTGTAATACGTGTCATGACATTCAGCACTCTCATTTCATTGGCATTCATGCTACTTCTTGCACTGTTTACCAGACGCCCTGGTGTTAATTGTTAGTGGAGTGCTGTGCCCGAGGGGCTGACTTATGTGCTGACTTGCACTATCTGATTACGCATTCATTTGCTTAACTGTTGGAAAGGATATTTTCAAAAGAAGTTTTAACTGAGTCCAAATATTTTCTAAAGGATTTTCACGGTTTTACTGTTTTCTCAAAGATTTGCACTGTCTTATATAGCATGATGGAGTGCTTTTACGTGATTTCTTACCGCTCAGTTATTATTTACTTTTATTGCTCACTGAGTTGGAGTACTCACTTTAGTCCCTGCACCTCGCGTGCAGTTGCAGGTATTGTTCACCCGGTAGCGGGTTATTATGTGATTGAAGGTATTACTATTGTAGCTGAGTAAGGTGACCGCCAGCGTTCGCGGCGGCGGACGTTGTCTTTAGCATTCCAGAATTTATTTTTGTATAATATTGGCCCTGTAGTTGTGTTCAGGTTTCTTTAGATGCTCGTGACTTGTGACACCCCGGTCGTGTTGTGTTGGGTTGTAAATACTGGTTATTATTGTCGTTAAGCTGTATTTATCTATTCATTTATGTTTAAAAATTGTTAAAGAGACGATTTGGGTTAGTTGGCTGGCCTTGTCTTCACGAGAGACGTCATCACGACCGGGTTTGGAAATTGGGTCGTGACAGTATCTAAGGATAAATGTGTACATTATGGACTAAAATCAAGACTTATGCCTCAAGAAATAGTTAGTAGGTGGAATTATGCTTATTGTCTTAAGATGTTGTTATAAATATAGAATGCCCATAACTGAAGTTGTTAATTCTCATTGTACCAATCCTAACCGTTTGTTAATATCTAGTACTTGGGATGTCATTGAAGATGTTATAAAAAATTTACAAAAACTTTATGTAGCTGTTTTCTGGAGCTTATTATCCTACTATTGCAAATGGTTTAGCATATATAGCTGAAATTTCTCTTTTACTCCATAATTTCAAGAAGAAAGAAGGATATAGTTCTATGTTGAATCTATGCTAGATAAATTTAAGAAATATTTCTATCATATTCGCCTATTTAGCTAATTTGTGCTATTTAAAACTATTCTATCAAAATGGCTACTTGTCGCTAATTAATCATTGCTTTATATGTTTATATGGATATTGGACCAACTGAAACCCCTGATATTGAAACTTGCATTTCTGATTTACACAAACATTTACAAGATTTATATAATCAGTATGATAACATTGTTGATACTTCTTTTGCTGTAGATGCAAAGATTTCAAGTTCAATTTCTGCATCTACATTCGGTGTTATGGAGGATAATGATCGTATTGAAGATTATTTAATTTGGTCTACACTAGGAGAGCATCAACAAACCAGTAGCAACAATATTGATGAACTCCAATTATGCTGGTAAAAGGCAACAGAGCCCCGCACAAAGGAATTTCTACAGCTGGCTTGGTGGAGGACCAACTCAAATCAATTTCCTGTTCTTTTGGCCATGGCTCGAGACGTGCGAAATGTGTCGAGTTCAACTGTTGTATCTGAGAGCGCACTTAGCCAAGCAAGGCAGCAGCTAGGAGATACCCGTCATTTATTCGGTAGCAACAATTTGGAAATTCTTGTTTGCTTCAGAGATTGGATAAGATCAGAACGGATCAAAGGCATGAAGAGGCAGATGAAACGGAGGACCAAGAAATTGGAGATATGGTTTATGGTTCCGATTCAGGCAATGCCGGAATTCAAGAACCTCATGTTGATATGGATGAACTTACAAAAATGATGCAAAGCATGTGATGTACTCTTTCTTATTTTTTATAATTGTTGTAAACTTTTAATTTGCAAGTTCAAAAATAAAAAAAAATAAAAATAGAACTTGCAAATTAATTTGAATTATTATTTATTATTCAATGATAATATGAAACGAAAGCCTTTGAAGTTTGATCCTTACATATGGATCTTATTAAAAAAAATTATGTAGCCACTTAATTTCAATTTTAAAATTTCAAATTTCAAATTTCAAATTTCAAATTTAAAACTTTAAACTTTAAAGTTTAAAAGTTTAATTTTATGCCTTAAAATATTTATTTTATTATTTAAAAGTTTGCAAACACTTAAGTATCAATTACATTGAATAAGGAAACATAATACACTAACAAAGAAAAAAATTAACCCAGCCTGGTCCAGACCCGATAAGCCCGAAACCAGACGGCCAAATTTAATCCGGAAAATCCCAGCCCACTATCAGCCTGGTACCCCAGCCCGCCCCACTAACCGGACGGGCTGTTTTTCTCCATGTCCAGCCGGACAAGCTCGTCCGGTTAATACCTATAATTAATACTAATAAGTAGTAGCCCTATTATATTCCGTAGCGATGCCACTTAGGACATGTTGGTTCCCAAGTTCAGCCAATTAGTATATATATTATCCGAAATTAACCTAACACAATATGTAATACCTTTGTCTTCTAGAAATCGGGCTTTCACAAAATGGAGTGGAACTGCAAACGCTAGAGCTTGATTTAGATCGGACTGCTTAGTGCCTCAAAAGCTTCCTTTGCGAAAACATGGAACACTTGGTTTGCTTGCTTAAAACGATGCCTGAGCAGCACCTTTCTCCGGCTGGAGCGTCAGTCACCTGCATTCGCATATAATGATGTTGTACATTTGGATAATCATATTCAAAATATTGAAGCACGTCCGTTGAATCAGTTTCTATTTCCAAAGGCCATAGTTGAAAGACACATGCATGTTGAAGATCTCATTGTAAAGCTAAATTTCTGCCTGGATAGGAGTAGCAGCATGTTTATCATTGAAGCCAACCATCCAGTCTCCTTAGCTGCTACGGATGACTCCACCAAGTCCGCATCACAGTTTACTCGCTTTAAGAGCCCCATCTGTATTAAGCTTGTAACATCTAGTAGGTGGTTTAAGCCATTTTACTTTGATGGAGTTTTTCATGTTTCCGTTAGGCTCCCTATCTGTGAAAATTTTGAATTACACGGCATGTTGAGAGATATTCCTAGAGAGAGAGATGATATTAATATTATTTTGATCATTAGCATTTCTATTGATCCATATGCTCCATAAAAAATTAAAAAATAAAAATAAAAAGATCCTCCCGTATGAGATAATTATTGTCAAGAGTGACACTGAGAACTTTTATTCAATTGTTAGGATCAGAAGTAATGAGATAGACAGAGGCCAGTTTTTCCTAGAAATAGGCCAGGTGATGAATATATGGGTGATGGTTTCATCCTCATTTTTGCACACAAAACAAGTTGGATCCATTTATATTCATGCGAATATGACTTGAACATGGTTTACAAGGAAATCTATTATGGAAGCGTTTTCATAAGAAAAAATTTATTTTGGTATGTGGAGTCGTCAGATCCAAGTGAACTCCTAATCATTACCTTCAAACTCATCAATGAGAGTGTAACAAGAACTTGTACTAAACCTATCGCTGCCTGCTATGAGGGACCATAAGGCAGTGTCCAATTTATTAATGCTTAAAATTATTTATAATGCGAATGTTATCAGTAATATGGTTAGAAGATACTGTCAGGGCGGGGCCGTTTGGTTTATTATATGGTTATGCAAGAATTGTTTTATGCTGTGATAACAATTAAAAAATTGTTATACAATGAACAACAATACAAAATTGTTAGGCAATAAGTAATAATACATGAATTATCACGTATAGACTATCTAATCTAAGATTTTTAGTTGGGATGCACTTATTCATGCACTACTTACACACGCAATTATCCAACTTTTTAACAGTTATGTCATAATACACAAATTAATCAACTTCTGTAAAGTCTTCTATGTTCAATCTACAGAGATTATGTTAGTTAATACAAAAAAATTTATTGAATGTTATGCATAAATTGAAACCACCACTGCACTCTCTTGCAGCCATGAATAGGACGCAGTTTAACGGGTATGGGTGAAAAATTACGCTTCATTTATCATATTCACTCATTTGGTTAACTTTACCTCCATTTCAAACTCGCCTATTTCATGTACCAAAACTCAATCATTGTTAAGTATACTAATTACTAGCCCATTCAATGAGCACTGTATCTGGATATGAAAGGTAAGGCACCCTACACATTAGCTGATCATAACACATACCACAAGAAAACCACTTTAAAATCCATTGTTTACAAGGTCCCTGAAATAGATAACAGCAGAACAGCAAAATCATATTTCAAGTCTTACAGCACCCTCTCCATGTTCTACCAATACGAAAAGTTATACAAGCTCGTCCAACTCCTAGCTGCTTCACAAGTTCTGCTCCAAATCACTCAGACCCGGTTCACCTACATTGCACAAGTGTAATAATTAGCATTACAAAGAAATGAGGGAAATCGGATCATGAAAAATAAAAGGATGTAGGAGCGCCGATGCACCCAATCTTGGGTCATCTGGAAAATAAATCATGCACGTGTTTAGCACTCAACACGTATTTCAAGTAGAAAAGCACAAAAATAAAGAGGAAATAATTCATTTTTGTATGCACAAAGAAATAGGCTTCATAGAAATGTAAGGAAAACAGTATATGTATTCTCTAATTCCTTATTCTGCACTACCATGGGTATTTTGTGCATAAGGCAAGCTCTTTTAGTAATACACCAAATATCCATGCCACTTTCCTGTCTGCATTTCATTTGCCGAACTTGGACACTACAACATGCAGATTTTCATCCCATTGAGCCTCCTATCATTTGTATCCACCATTACACAAATGATTGCTCATGTTTATAAGACCATTATCTCATTAACCATTTTCCATGTTCACCAAATACCAAAATCTTTTTTCTGTCTCCATATTCCTAGCTTGGAAAAAAGAAACATGAAGTTTCTCTTGTTGTCATTTCGTATCATTGATCTTCCAATCATGGTATTACCCCCAGGTGACAGCTCACTCAGCATTTCAATTTTTAAAATGACATTTAAATGCTAGTATTAATAATTTCTGAAGTTCCAAATTTCATTTTAAATTGTTTGATAAATTTCACAATAATGAATTCAAAAACTTAGAAGGTAATTGCAATTCAACTAAGGACTGATGAAATGAAGAACCAGCTCCCAATTCAACTCAAATTACTCCAATCACCATCAAAACATAGCAACGTCAAAGATCCAGCAATACCTCTACTTGGGATTTCGGAGGACAATGATCACAGAATCTCCCCGAAGGAACATCTTGCTAATGAACCTATCTTTGTTAACAGGTTGAGCCTTCTTTTTTCCTTTTCCAGTCTTGGGAACCTGACGAATAAACATACACAACTTGGATAAGTGGAGCTCTTTGCGCAAGTTACAAATCCAAGATCCAAGATGCATTGTCCAAAACAAATTTACTAAGAAAACCCAGAAAAAAGAACGAACCTCAGTCCACATTTCCCTAACATTTTCAAGCACCATGTTGCAGTGACGATCGAACGCCCTCACACGGCCGAGAAGTTTCCTGTTGTTCCTACAGTTGATGAGCACCTACAAAGCAGAAAACAGCAAGAACAACATCTGTAAGATAACTGTAAAATTGAAGCTTTCACATACAAAACTCAAGCTTGCATTTAGTTCTAGAGTATTGAAATTTAAATCTATGACATTTAAGAAAGTACACCGGCATGACTTAGAAAGCAAATGGACAGCATAAACAAGATCCTAGATCAGATTTAGTCAATTTTTATATAAGTAACATTACTACATAAGCATGACATAAACAAAGACATCAGTAAAGACGGTAGAGTCTATTAATACCTGAGTGTTATTCTTAACACTCATCATCAGGACAGAAAGTGGGCCAGTATTGAACTCCTCTTCCTCATTTTTCACCTGCGAAAAGAAGGAAAAAGCTCCATTAGCAAACACAAGGGTCAGATTCACTGGGAACTGACGAGGTCCATCCCTCTACAAACCAAAATAGCAGGGCATACACTCACTATGTACTTCAGCTGGATAATGTACCAATTAAAAAAGCTAAATACTTTGACATCCGGAAGGCAAACAAGAACGCCAGATTCTTATGGAAAATGAATAATAAGATCACATGTATGGATGAACAAACCAAGACAAAAAGAAATGAGAATAGGATGTCTGTTAAAGGAGAACAACAAAATTTAGACCAAGTTTCCAGGAAATCCAATATTGCAACACAAGAAAAGACTAACAACCTAAGTTGCTCGGACACAGGTGCAAGTGTCCGAAAGGAGTGCGGATCTAGCATCCTTCGAGATGTAAATTCTAAGATTCAGGGATACGCATCCTAGAACGGACATGGGCGGTGAACCGGCTAAAAATAATTCATAAATTTAAAAATATCTCTAAATTATGAGAATTTTTGTGGAATACTTACGTATAAGTTGTAATTGTGAATTATTTTTATTCTCAAGTTGTAGATAAGTAAAAGATTGATTTCCTAAATAAGGTATGCTATTTGCTTCAAATTTACCCTAGTTTTGTTTTTGATTTTGAGAATCAAATTGTATCGCGTCTCGAATTTTTTCGTCCGTTGGTCAAAGTACCCAAAATTGTTTGACCAAATCCAATAAGAATCTCATAACCACACGCATACTAGTGTCATGTCGACACAGGTGCGCACCTAAACTGCCGTGTCAGAGCAACTTAGCTAACAACACTTGCATGGAGGTGAGTGCAACCTAGGGTCAGAACACAAACTCTTCTAGTTCAACTGCTTCAACCAATATTTAATGCAACTGATGCTGTAGAAAGGCACTCAAGTTTAACTGCTATAACCATTTTCCCAGGTGTTGCACCACATTACATAGCCACCTATACAGGGTCTTCAAATAATTTTTGGTAGCTATATTGTTATTTGAAGCAAAGCACCCAAGTGGTCTAATGGTCAATAAAGTGGAAAAATCTCACAGAGCAGTTTTCAAATACCAATACCAACGGGGACAAAAATATTAGGCGATTATTTCCATCTGCCAAAGCCTTGGTGACTCTATAACCATGCTAGCGTGAGATAGCATGTACCTTGTGGAATAGTATAGTTGTCCGCAAGTTGGCCCGAAAACCACCTTTAATACAAAAAGAAGTTACACTGTTATTTAAAGTTCTAATTGTTTTTGTCATTTGTTTTACAAGTGGTGAACTCAAATGATTTAACCAAAGACATGCTGATAGCCAATGTGACACATTGAAAAAAAACCTGTTGATCATGACTTCAAACAATTTCTTGTTCTTACTGAAAAGGAGAGGTGTAAACCCTATCTCTTTCCAAGAAAATACTAGATGTAACACGTACGGGAAGGGTGATGGCTACCAAGTACAAACAAACAAAAATCTAACATGGAACTACGGTGAAAAAAAGAGAGAAAAGAACAAGAATTAAGCAGTAGACAGAACCTAAATATAAATAGTTCACAACACAGCCATAAGCCAAGGGAAAAATAGAAAATCAATAATGAAAGCTATTTATAGGTAAAACACTTGCAAAGTAAGCTGACTTACAGGGGCATCCTCTTCCATTGGCCGACTGCAAAAGAGCAAAAGAAAAAAGGAAAAGACAAGGAAAATGAATTAGGAACCTTCACTTTGTTAATGTTTGATTAACACAAGAATCAGCAAGAATATAGAAACATCAGAATTCATCAACAAAAAATGAGAACGTTTTTATTTTCTTTTCTAATTTCTACTATTATATAAATCCAACAGCCTGCTTAGCCTTTTATTCTAACCAAAAAAGGATTCTACTACTGATTTGCATGAGATAACATATGTTTAAGCTTGATAAATTGCAGAGTGCACAAAAGGAATTAACTATTAAGAGCAGTAATAATAAAGAGCTAGAGAAGCAACCATCCCTATTTACAAAGGCAAGAGATCATGCAACACGAAATCCAATAAACACAGTAAAAGGAAGTTCTTTTTTATTAAGAAAAGGAAAGTCTACTTTTACTGTACCCAAAGGTGTGGCCTAGAGGTAAATGAAGTGGGAGGACAACAATTAGATCTCAGGTTCAAACCCTAGAAGAGGCAAAAAATACTAGGTGATTTCTTCCTTGGTCTAAGCTTTGGTGGGCAGAGTTACCCGCTGGTGGAGGTACCAAGTGTAATCAAGGTGCGTGCAAGCTGGCCAGGAGAAAGCAGTCATCAAAACAAAAGAAAAAGGAACTCTCCAAACAAAGAACACAGCAAAAACAAGAACAATGCCTTAGTACCAAACTAGCTAAGGTCGGGGATATGAATCTTCTATATCTATGTACTCTATTAAAACCCACTGCGATTTAATAGTAGTAGAGTAATTTGTCATTGAAGCAAAACTAAACACTCAATTGTTCAAAATTAACCATAAGAAATAGATAAAATTCTTCAATTTCCACGTCAGAAAAATTGTGTTACCTAGGAAACCATATAATACTAGAAACCAAAGTGATCTAACTTATTAATCTGCTAAAGACTGTTAATGGATGACAAAAAAAAAAAAACTAAAGCTATCAGAGTTTTACGTTTTCAAGGAAACCAGATCATCGAACTCAAGCTAATCCGTAAATATTGCAAGCAGAGAAGATGGAAACTTTAAAAAGAACAAAGGCGAAGCGTAAAGAGGAAGTAGAACTTACCTCATCTTCGATCAAACTGAAGAAATTCAAGAGCAAATAGGAACCAAAGAGGGGAGAGATTAGTGACTGAAAAGAAAAGGCTAGGGTTTAAAGAGGAGACAGCGGAAAATAGTCGAAACACTTGACCGCCAACTAAGGTTCAAGCGGGACAATGGGCTGGGAGAGACTTATAAACGGATTATAGCCCAAGTGAGGAGGCCCAAGCTTGGACAAGATAAGAGATGAACATGGTAAAATGGTACTTTTTAGGGGTGGGCGTCGGTCGTTTCGGTCGGTTATTATGAAAGTACGGTTCGGTTTATCGGTTTTCGGTTTTGTAATATTAATAACCAAATCAAACCAAAGTATTTACGGTTCGGTGCGATTTTTTCAAAGTTCGGTTTGGTTATTTCCGGTTTAATTTTTCGGTTTTAAACGGTTCAAGAAAATTTTATGCTTCTCTGGCAAAAGGAAATAGATTGTCATAATGAATGAATTGAAAAGAAGATATTGGTCCAACAGCCATTGCACATAACAGAGACGAAACTAGTGTAACATTTAGTGCAATGGCTGGAAATGCTGTTGGACCAATGACTGGAAATAAATTGCATTCATTATGACAATCTATTATTGCAATAAGCAAGGCTGGAAAATGGAAATGCTGCAAAGTCATCAAAAGAAACTAGTGTAACATTCTGGTGATCACTAAAGAGGAGGATATTTGAAACTACACTATAAATGAAACCAAGAATAGAGAACAAGCAAAAGAATTAACACAGCAGCACAGTTAACAATTAGAAAACGGAAATCTAGCAGTTTCACGTCCAAACAGATCGCAGCAGCTATCTAAGTAGCAAAATACCGCACAGTTCAGCAGTGGCAAACTAGTCCAGAACAGTTTAACACAGTGGCAAATCTAGCAGCTACCAAAGTCCAAAACAAGTCTAGAAATACCATCACCAAGCAACAAAACAGTGGCAAAATCGAATGAGCTGAGGAACAGAGGAAGAAAACTGAAAAGGAACTCAACTCAGAAGTCAGAACTCAGAAGAAGTCGCACTAACCTGACGAAGAAGGATGAGCGACGAGCTGAGGAAGAAGGCGTCACAGTCGAGTTGAGGAAGAAGGCGTCAGTGCAGTGTAGCACAGAGGAAGTGAGGAACCCTAAATCTAATTTTTGATTTAGGTTTGGGTTTGGCCGTTTGGGAAATGGGAACTTGGGAAGTAAGTGACTAAAGTAACGTATCAGTAGACACTAGACAGTAAGTTTGAGTAATTAGATTTGGGTAAACTGGGTGGGGTGGGCTTCAAAGTTCAAATGGGTATTGGACTATTGGGCATTTGGGCTTCAGCCTAAGATGGGTAATAAGTTTTGAACTAATACCCAAAATTTCGGTTTTTAGGTTTAACCGATAACCGAAACACCAAAATCGTAATCCGCACCAAAAAACCGAAAATTAATAATTTTAAAACCGTGCAGCGATCGAAAAACCGATTAAATCGAAATCGAAAAACCCAAATTCACGGTTCGACCAGTTTTTTCGGTACGGCCGCTATTATGTCCACCCCTACTTTTAACCCATTCAGTTGCTGAAGATAGAGATCAGGCTTTCTAAATGAGATTGAGTTCCACGAATATGCGGTAGGGATGTAAATGGTTCGGTTTGGGTCGGTTTTTCTCTAAAAAGAAACCAACCCAAGTAAGTCGATTTTTCAAATATTGGAATCAAACCAAACCAATTAAGTCGATTTTTATATCGATTCGATTTTTGTCGGGTTTTGTTGGGTTTTCTGTTTTTTATCAGTTTTTTTCTTAAATGTGATATACACTGCCAAACGCATATTCCGGCGACTACATTTTCAACGTAACGCTATCAAATCAATTGCTCTTTGAGAAATCTATCATTTACCAAGATATATTGATGATAATTGAATCAAATAGTGATGAATAATTTAAGTACTCAATTAAAAATCGATTATTTTTAACAAAAAAAAAAAATTTTGTACTTAGCAAAAGAAAACTACCAATCAAACTAGAATGTAAAGGCAAAGAATTAGATTATTATAATAGCAAAGAACTAGACTAAAAATACGAATGACTAATATGTACCATAAAATTTTAGAAACTTTATATAAAAATATACATATAAATACATACATATACACACACACACACACACACATATATAAATACATACACACACACACACACACACACACACACATATATATATATAGGTGTAATAATAAATTTAAATAGCTATTTTCATAGTCGGTTTGGTTCGATTTTTTTTGGTTATTTTTGATTAAAACTAAATCAAACCAAATTTGATCGGTTTTTTAAATTCAAAACCAAAACCAAACCAAACCTAAAATGTATCGGTTTTTTGGTTGGTTTGATTCGGTTTTCGGTTTTGTTCTATTTTTCCGGTTTTTATGTACACCCTAATATGCAGGCTAGAAAAATATTATTTGTTGCTATTCTATTTATTTGTGCATCCAGATACAATCAAATCTCCCTATAACTCATAGTATTTGAACCCCCTTTTCTCTAATATTATTGGTTGTTATGCACTTATAATAATATTAGTTTTAGTGTATGCGTTGCACATATTTTTGCGCCTATTAATAATAAGTGTATAAAACTTAAAGTAAGAATAAATTATGTGTAGTAACAATTGACATCAAGATATATGTAACATTTATTTAAATTAAAAATAAATGTTACATTGGTGAAATAGTTGAATGCATAGTTATTGATTATCTTTTCAACTTGCAACGATTAAGAATTTAGGTAGGTTATTTATATATGACCTAATCTTGGTGTAAGAAATACTATTCCAAGTATTAAGTATTATATACAGTCAAACCTCTCTATAATAGTATCGTTTATTCTGAAAATTTTTGGCTTTATAGTGAATAGCTATTATACACCTATAACAATATTTTTATAACTAAAGATCTACAAATTATAATGTACATTAAAGTTATTAAATATTTGCTTAAATATTTAGAATTACTAGTTTCTCGACACGTGTGTTGCACGTGACTGTTACGCCATATAGTACATAATTTTATAAAATAATATCAATATTTCCAAAATAAAGCTTTAATGAGTAGATAATTATACATGAAATAAAGTACAAATTTTTATAAATGGTCAATATGTATCGGTGTATGGTAACTTGTTTGTCAAGCTAAGGTTAAGATGATTGGATATTGGATGAACATGAAGATGAATAATTAATGTTTAATTTAGATACATGTGACTTTCTTTTATATTTATTTTGCTTTTAGTACACACATGTAATGAAGTGTATTTCACCTAATACTTTTCTATAGACAATATTCATAGCATATATTCCTTGCAATCATATTGTTTTCTCTATCATGACCAGAGCTCTTGTAATCAATACACAACATGCATCTACTTGACCAATTGTCACGACCCTAAATCCGGATCCGGTCGTGATGGCGCCTCTCGTGAAGACAAGGCCAGCCGATACACTTCCAATTCACTTTAAGCAATTAAAATAACAAATACTGAATCTTTAGCAGAAATAAAATCCCAAAGTAAACAATGAACAGTGCAATTTGCGGAAACAAAATCAACACAGCCCGACATCGGGGTGTCACCAGTCATGAGCATCTAACATAAGTCTCAAAAAGTGGAAAAAGGGACTACACAGTCTATTACAAAATCCAGAACTAGGAACAGAAATAATGATATGAGGGAGAAACACTGGGCCGCGTACGCCAAGCAGCTACCTAGTAAAGCTCCGAAGATCTGCTGGGAACTATCAACCCTCAGTAGCAGGACCTGTAGCGCCCGAATCTGCACACATGGGTGCAGGGAGTAAAGTGAGCACTCCAACTTAGTGAGTAATAACAATAAATGAAGACTGAGCGATACAAAATCACGTTAGACACAACAATAAGCTATAAGAGTCAGGATAAAATCAGTAAACATAATTAAGCAGTGAAATCTCATAAAACACCTTTTAAGCAGTTAAGCAATATATAGGAAAAACAACTAGAAATGGTAAACACATAAGAACTGCCCCTCGGGCAAAGTAATAACAGAATCGGCCCCTCGGGCAATATCACAGAACAATACCAGCCCCTCGGGCTATATCTCATATCTCAATGGGTACCCGCGCTCACTGGGGGTGTACAGACTCCGGGAGGGGCCCCTTACGGCCCAAGCGCAATATCAAGCCATCCCGTGGCATCATAAACAGGCTCTCGGCCTCATATCAATCACAAGCCACCTCGTGGCGTACAATCTCAGGCCCTCGGCCTTATTATCATAATCAGTATATCACCGCTGCGGCGTGCAGCCCGACCCAAAAGTAACCTCACAATACAGGCCCTCGGCCTTACTTAGTCAGAATCTCATAAGCCCCTCGGGCATCAGTAAACATGATGCTCAGCTCAGAATATCTTTTAAAATATCATTTAAAGTGTTTAAAACAGAGTAACATGGCCGAGTTTTGAAAACAGTAAAATATGGCATGACTGAGCACAAGTATGAAAATCAAACAGTGAGGAAAATATCAGTAAAGATACCTTAAGGGTACAAACAGTTGGCACAAAGCCCAAATATGGCATTTAGCCGAAAACATAACAATATCAAATAATTAGCTATCAAATACGCAGTAAAACAGTCATTCGGGATGGACTAAGTCACAATCCCCAACGGTGCACGACCCCACGCTCGTCATATAGCGTGTGCGTCACCTCAACATAGCCAAACGATGTGTAATTCGGGGTTTCATACCCTCAGGACAGCATTTAAAATCATTACTCACCTTAATCCGGCCCAAACTCTAGCTCGAAATGTCTTTGCCCCTCGAATCGGCCTCCGGATGCTTCGAATCTACCAAAATCAGAAGGAAATCATCAAAATATGCTAAAGGGACAAAGCCCACTCGAAATTAATCGAAAAATAACGCAAATCCCGAAATTACCAAAACCGGACCCCTGGGCCCACGTCTCGGAATTTGATAAATTTTACGTCATTAGATTCCTTATCTCCCCACGAGTTCATACATATCAAAAGTTCCAAAATCCGATCACAAATGGTCTTTCAAATCCTCAATCAAAGGCCTAAGTTTCTAAGCCCTAGTTCCTCCATTTTTGGCTTAAATTCCATTAATTTCAGCCCCAATCCGTGAATTAATACAATAGGAACGAGTTTTTAGGTCCAAAATCCTTACCTCAATGAAGCTCCCTTGAAATCCTTCTTCAAAAATCGCTCAAAACTCCCGAAATCGCTTTTAAAAATGGTGAAACTCTCTGAAAATCGCGAAGAAAATAACTTATATGTTCTGGTCCAGGGATTTCGCATCTGCGACCAGTTTCCCGCTTTTGCGGTACCGCATTTGCGGTCCTTGAACCACTTCTGCGGTTTTCACTTAAACCGCCCACTCCGCATCTGCGATGCCTAGCCCGCACCTGCGCCATCGCAGGTGCGGTTCTTCTACCGCTTCTGCGGTCCTTGCCAACCTCACCATCTTCCGCTTCTGCGACTCCTATCCGCATCTGCGGGGGTCGCACCTGCGATCCTTCAACCGCAACTGCGGTTATGACAGCAATCAAAAGGCTTCAGCTCTCAACTTCAATTCCAAACCTTCCGTCAACCATCCGAAATCACCCCGAGGCCCCCGGGACCTCAACCAGAAGCACCAACAAGTCTTATACTGCCATTCAAACTTATACCAACCTTCAAAACACCTCAAACAACATCAAAATACCTCAAACAACATCAAAACCACCAAAACACATCGAATTCAAGCCTAAGGTTCTAAAATCTTCCGCATTCCGCTTTTGATCAAAAAGTATACCAAACCACGTTCGAATGACCTGAAATTTTGCACACACATCCCAAATGACCTAACGGAGCTACTGCAACTTCCGGAATTCCATTCCGACCCCTGTATCAAAATCTCACCTATCAATCGGAAAACGCTAAAATCTCGTTTTTGCCAATTCAAGCCTAAATCTACTCCGAACCTCCAAAACACATTCCGATCACGCTCGAAAGTCCCGAAGCTATCCGAACCACCGGAACTCACATCCGAGCCCTCTAACACATAAGTCAATATCCGGTTGACTTTTTCAACTTAAGCTTTCTTAAAAAAGACTAAGTGTCTCAAACCTTCTCAAAACCTTTCCGAACCCGAGCCAACCAACCCAGTCACCTATAGAACTGATAAACAAAGCAAATAGAAGC